CTCCAAATCAAAGGCTTGGCAACTAAGTACACAACTGTAAAATGGCCTATTGTACTTGTGATCTTAAATCAAACTTGTGCTCAGCATTTGTTTGATTTTGAGATTGTGCATGTGTTTTCAGACCAAATTGCACTCCACTCAGTTCAATGACCATTATTAATGTCACAAAATAAGAAATACTGCAAGTAGGCAATATATTAAAATGGTCCATTGTTCAAGAGTGGTAGCATTTGGTGTTTGTAATTTACAGACTCCAGAAGTTGTAATAATTTCACTTATTTTAATTAACAACTGCATCACTAATTGGAGGTTGGGTGCCTGAAACATTCAGGAGCTTCCACTATTGGCAGCCAGCTCCTAGATGGAGACTTCTCCCACGGCTGGCAAATCCTGGCAACCCAGTTATGAGTCCCCACATAGGAAAGGGGAACAGGCACCTGTCACACTGAATAGATGGTAGAAAGAGGGAGGAAATAATTAAGTGGGGAAAAACTGCCTGAATGAAGAACTACCACTCCTTGCAATGCTACAAGCACATGCTCAAAGTACACACAAGAATGCCTCTAATGCAGAGCAAATGGGAATTCCCGCACATGCGCATGTGTAAAAACCACTGACTACCAGAAAACACTGATGCTCTTTGTTGTTAACTCTGTTAAATTGCATTTAGCGGTAACCGCATTTATGACAGCAAATCTGATTTATTCTTGCTAGATGAAGATCCTGATAATGACAAAAAGCCTAAGGGTAGTGATTTGTCCCTGGATATTGGACCAGGTTCAGCAGATTGTCTGGCTTTACATAAGAAGGGACTGTATATTGCTGGGCAGGTCGGTTAAATTTTGTTTATTATTCCTATCTTCTTATTTTTTGCACCATTTTGTGACATTGAAGCAAGACAATTTGGTTATTTGGTCTGAAAAATGGCTGAACTCAGTCTCACAAGTAACCTCTGAGAACTAAATCTCACAAACCCTGTAATTGCAAAAATTATTTTCATACAGTTTCCTGTGTGTATTGTTGTAAATTACATGTGAGTGTTTGTATGTTTCATTTGTTGCATTGTGTACTTGATATTTATGCCATTGTGTAAATTGTTGCACAATTTGTCAGGTTTTGTGTATAAAATTAGTCTTGTGGATCAATGTTTATGTCCACTTTTTAAGAAGCAGTGTTGTTGTGTTTATTTTCCCTGGTAAAGCTATGCACCATATAGGTAAATATTTTTCTTTGTTGAGAGTTTATTAGCAGGTATTCATTTTCTAATATGTATTTTCCTACTTGTGTTAAGGATGATAGGTGTGTGGATGTTTTTAAATAAATGATGAATACATGCAATTATGCATGACTTTGGCTACACACCCTCTATTCAGGTAATATTTACTGCCCCACTTTCTGGATACCTTTTGAATAAATTCCATCTTTAACAGAATGGAGTATTGAGATGTTTGGACATAAAATCAACTGAGCTTAAAGTCTTGGAGCAGTTGGACATTGGTGGTGCTGTGACAAGTCTTCACTGGTCACCAAATTATCGTTCGTTAGCCCTTGGGAGTTCCAAGGTAGGTGCCAATGGATTTTCATTAATAATGGGACAGAGTGGAGGACCAATTTGGTCTGTGATCATATGAGTGAGTAACAAAATCAGAAGACAGCAAAGCAGGAGACCAATTTTTCAGGATAAGTGATTGTTCCTATGGTTATTGTGATCAATTCTGTGATTGGTGGATTTAACTGAATGGACTTAGTATGATTGGCTGCTTTTACCGTCTGATTATGACTGTGCGGAATGATTAGTGAAAAATATAGCAGCCAACGCACCAATCACATTTGAGGAAATTGTAATGGTAATGATCAAGACATCTACGAGAGAATACAGTAAAGTGAAAAAATAATTTCTTCCACACGAATTAAAAAAAGTGCTGGTGGCTTTTACCTTAAACTAAAAAGAAAAAATTGCAATAATACATTGTATTATTTCAGGGGTCTGTACATCTCTATGATTCTGAAGGATCTGTGGCAGAGCTGTTTAGTATTCATAATGCTGAGTTTGTGGGTGTTGACTGTCTGGCAGGAGGAAGTCAGTATTGTGTGGTAAGAGGTGGAAGGAATAGTGTCTGAATTTTATGGTAAACAATACAATGATTTTGTATTTAGTGGATGGCTTGTCATGTTCATTTGGCCTGACTTCCTCTCAGGTCATTTGTAACTGAATGGGTAAAACAGGGTTAACATCCAATTTCAGAGGGTCTGAGATTCAATATTATTAATATTATTATGTTGGGCATGATGGTGCCTTTTGCAAGCTAAAATGTTTCAAACAATTGCCCAATGTAAGCAGCTAATAAACAAATAAGCTGTAGATAAGCTTGGACTCCCCTTTCATGCTTTTAACAATTTTTGAAAAAAAACTCACATGGCAAGATTTTGAAATTTCTTGCCAGTTTCACTGGAAGGTGTATTTTCATTGAGGGAAAATAAAACCTGTAAGACTTGAAAATACTCTTGTGGTTGTTTCAACTGTGTTTTTTTCAGTTTTTATTTTCTCAGTGCCCTCCAAAGTTGTAATGATGGTCTGTACTACTGTTCATGTTTTAATCCTGGCCTAAAGGCTCAGGTTAAAATAACTCTGAATCAGACCATAGACTCTATCATTTTATTGTAAGATTCTTGGAGAGGAATCTATTTTTTTCTTCATCACACCCTCCTGACAAAAGGGGAATGTACTTCTTGACTCTTAGCATTATTATTATTTTAGTATGTTAACAGTTCATAGTAAGTATGTTTAATTACAGTTTCAACCTTGAGAATGTACATCAGTTAGGCCTCAAGTGTTATTGTAGCAGGTTATAGACTGTGAACCAAAAATAATAATTATTTTTCTCAACTTTCATATTTTACAGACTTGTAAAACAGATGGTTTGGTGCAAACATGGGACATTGAAACAAGCAAACTTTTGTCTAAAATCCATCTTGAGTGCCAGGTACATATTTAGGAATCCCAAGAGAAACTAGGGTTTGGAGTCCTTCTTTCTTTTCTATTTTTTTCTGTCAATGATTCTTAGTTCTATTTGCCTTCCTTTTTGGAAAATTTGCAATGCAGTTATATTTTTCCTGCTGCAATCAAAGTTATGCACCAATAGCTCAGTGTGTATGCATCATGCGAGTGTAACTGTTATTCATCCTTGTGTTTTGTACACCCCTTCCCATGTCCGAAAATTTGCATGTCTTGATTTGAATTTTCTTATCAAGTCCACATCTTATACTTTATGTAAGTACTGATGACATCATTTCCCACTCTTCTTTACAGGCTTCATGTATACAGTGTAGTCCATCCTCCAGCACAGTGGCCATAGGTTCTCTTACTGGCCATATCTACTTTGTTGAGATGACAAACATTGAGCAGCCTCGTCTTATTTACAGGATCCACATTCACCATGGGCCAGTTTTGCAACTTAGGTAGGTCATCACTGCGAAGTTTGCTTTCAACATTCATTTCTTAAACTGCAGTTCACATATATGATTTTCATGTATTTACAGTCATTGATTCATTACTTCACGGGTTTAGTAGGAACCGACATAATGACCACTCCCAGTTGGCTTGTTAGCTCAGTTGGTAGAGCACTGCACCGGTATTGCAGAGGTCATGGGTTCAAATCCTATACAGGCCTGAATTTTTTTCAAGCCTGGTTTTCTTTACTGCTTAATTATTCTCCCGAGTCACTATGGAAACAAAACACAAAGATCTACTGGGGGAGAGTGGGGCGAGATTGTAATACGATCGCCAACTTTTATGGACAGTTACAGGCGGTCCGGGGGAAGTTGGGGTTGTTATGTTTTCGGGTGCAACTGCATACAATTTCGCTAGAGATTCACCAGTAACTTCTTTATTTTAAAGTTTGAACTGTAACTCGATTTATCCAAGCATTGAATTCTTGACAACTGATGTATTTTATTGCTCTAACTTCACTCACAGTTATGATTGGAGTGGTCAGATATATGTAACAGGCTCAAATGATGGACATGTCTTCGTGTGTGATGCAAGAGTCAGCAACAACTTCAAAGTGCTTGGGCGATTAGGTACTGGTTTAGG